TCTAGATAGCGACATATCTGGGCATGGCCATGCACTTTCCCAAGTCCTACTATTCAGTGGGCCCATTGACATTATACTTCTATACAGTAGAAGGGACAGATCCTGTATCTGTTATTCACATCTCTAAATATGCTTAGCGGCATACCCAACGCATAACTGTACGTCTACCAGTATTTCAGATAGCATTAGTTATGAATCAAAGCATACGGCCCCACATATCAGAGAATGTAATAACTTCAAGTCTGAGGATAGTTATAGCAAGGTCGATTTGAGAATACTGATAAACACATTACTGTAGATCCATGCAGTATTCTCAAGATGGGTCAATCCAGTCACATATTATCGATATAATATGCACCTACGTACAGATTAAGATATCACAATACCTATAGTCTATGAGACGCAACTATCTCATCTCGTACGTACTAGTCTTGGTACGTTATGACGTCCGTATTATCATAAAGTGCGACTAGGGATATTCTAGACACAGCCTTCGTCAAGAAGTAACAGTCTCATAATCAGAACATCGTAGTCCTCATCTATGTTACTAAAGCGCTATCGTCTATGGACTGAAGCTATGTTATGTTACACGAGATATAAAACATACTTCAAGGCCTTTCATTCATGATAAAGTGTACAGTTACATAGGTATTTGATTGCCGCTAGGGCACCTAAATACAACATCTGGATAATCCGAAATGCTCATATATTGTTTCCTGAGTGTAACTAATCGTCTAACTACGTTCAACTCATCTGAAACGAAATGAGTTGAACATAGTTCAACGAACAACTCATTTGAAACTCATTCAGAGCAATCTATATTCTCTGTACATAGGTAACATAGTGAAACTTGTAACTATGTGAAATTCATTATGATAGATAATGGAAACAATTCTCTGTTCTTCGTACCTATGTCGTGGCATAGAAGTCTCTCGCGTGGGCGAAGGAGATGCATTTCTGGTACTGGTGGTATTTGCCTCAATGTTATCGCCCTAGAAAACCTACATCTCTTTTTTCACACTATTCATCATTTTTGTTTCAATACTTATATAAATTTAATACAAATTTTTATTTATTAATAAAAATAGATGGCTACTTTAAAAAAGGGTTATCACAATTAAAAAAATTAAAATAAGCGTATACAACATTAAAATTATGAAATACTAAATTAATAAAAGAAAGAATTAAACATGCTTAAATTTAAAATTATAAAAACTAAAATACAAAAAAATGCTAGGAAAATAAAGACTTAAAAAAACAAATAGTACTGAGTTGCCCTACTTATCATGACGTGAATTGCTGTCATCATGGTACTTCAACTCCATCTCCAACATCGCCGACGTATTCATTGTCATGAGCTTGATAAGGTTGGTGCAATGAACAACTAAGCTCATCCTCTTAAGGTTTTCATTCATTATGTCCAACATCGGGTTTGCGGGTGGGGATGACATATTAGTAGATGTTGTCTTGATCTTTCATTCGCCTTCTTTGTTGTCTTTGTCCCGATTGAACGGCTTTGACTGCTGGGTTCGTCACTTGATCCATGGGGGAAGCCGTCCTCTGTGGCATTAAGGTCGATAGAATGTTCACCCCCGCTCCTCGATAATGAATGCCAAAAAAGTAAGATCAGAATTCAATTCTTTAGAACTACGTTATGAGACAACTCTGTTAAGCATATGACATTTACAAGTACCAAATGAAGACCCCACTATTTGTCAACACTCTACAATTAAAGTCTACTTTACTTCATCTCAATAATCATCTGACCGAGTCTGTGGGGCCTCGGGGATTGGGTTTATCGTTTTTTAAGTGGCTCCACTCCCAATTTTATACTCTCCTCGTTTAAAAATGGATACCATTGTTAATAACTTTTACGGTCTTTTGATAAGTTTTGTTTGTTTGTATGTTTTCATTGATAAAATAAATTATTCTGGACAGCTCATGTCTTATAGAATTTTTTAGGTACTTTTAAACGGTGTAAATTATATTTGTATTTTTATACGAATTTGTAATAAAATAATTTTAAAACTGAGGAGATTTTGCACGTTGTTCATAATATGACATCCATGAGAAAATTTACAACGGAGGAAGAAACACCGCTGCACCGGCCTCCCATTGCAGAACGGCCGGCGTAGACACAGGTGCTGCTAGAGCGGCCTAGCCAGTCGTGAAACGCGGCGGATCAGGACGGGCAACCGTCCTTTGCAATGGGCCGCCGTGCTGGTCCAAATTTAATTCTTTTTAGGTTTTCAACTTTATAAATTTAACAAATCTTTCATTTTATTTCATATAATTTTTTTTGTAAAAAATCTAATTTAGTTTTGAAAAAGCAACCGGTCTTTTTTATTTTTTTTAAATTAATTTTACTTCGTTTTTTACTTCAATGTTTATTTGAATAAAAAATGACATTGTTAGCATTTTATTTTAATTATATGTATCATGTTTTTGATAAAAAAATGGAATTAAAAAAATGAATAATGTAAAAGAAACAGAATAACAATTTTTCAAGAATGATAGTATTACAAGATTATAATACCAAACTAAAAATTAATGAAATGCTGATGTACCAAGCACTGTGGCACAGAGCGAGAGACCCTCCCATTGTCAGTCCAAAAAAAGGTGGAATTGCCCACAACAGGCGCCCCCACCCTCTGACCCGACAGGGATGGTGGAGGAGCTAAATCATGGTGACTCAGTCGGTCTAGAACGTTAGACCCGTGCATACCGCGCACAAGGAGCCTCCTCACTCTTTATGAAATTTTTGGATAGCTCCACTCTGCCGCTTGCAAGATTCAAATCCTGGTGATCGATACAGGATTTCACGTTCTCGGCCAACTGAGCTGTCGATAGGGACAATCCCCCTCCCATTGTAAATGGGACCGAGTGAGTAGTTACTATTTGTATACAGTAAGAGTATATTATAGATGCTCAAAATACGGAGTATAAATACAAAGAGAGAAAATAAAAGAGAGAGAGAGAGAAGTTTAATCTAGAGAAACACGGGACTACTAATAAGTACAGCAACTAGCTGTAACGTTGCAGACTCTCGCCAGAACCCTTTTTTCCACTCCCAACTTTCTCTCTCTCTCTCTCAATACTCCCTACTTGAATATACTTCTCCGGTGCTATAAAAATGTTTTTTTACATTTAAGAAAAATTAAAGCTGGAATATTTATTTTTGTGTTGACTTTCGAAAAATATTTCTTGATATGATGAGTAATTTATTAAAAAAAAGGAACGATGTGATTGAGAAGAATGACTTTGTGAGAGACAAGAAAAAAAGAAGGAAGATAGAGTTTATGAGGTAGAGAGAGTACTTACTAATGTCCTATAAAATCTGTAATCTTTTGACTTTTTTGTTATATTTTGCGAACTTTAATTTGATCATAAATTATGAAAAATATATCTAATTATAATGTAAATTTAATAAAATCATATATATTTGAAAATTTAGTTTTAAAATATTCAAATTTTATAATATTTAATTATTTAAAATTATTTTTAATTTATGGTAAAAATGTATTACACTTTATCAAACTTTTTTTAGCTCTACAACAAAAGGCTGAAAGTTTTACTTGAGTTAGGGGCTGTTTGACAATTTCTGAATAGGTAAGTGCTGAATCAGTAAGAGGTCTGAATCATTAAGTGCTGAACCAGTAAGAGATCTGAACCATTAAGAGCTAGTATATTGCTTAACTATTCAGAGGCAAATGTCTGATCAATTCAGATAATAGGTCTTAACCATTCAGACTCTGTATAATACTTAATCATTCAGAAGTAAATGTCTGAACCATTCAGACATTTGAACCATTAAGAGGCTAAAACAAACAGTATGAACCAATAAATGCTGAACGATACAGACATCTGAACCATTAAGAGGCTGAAACAAACCGCTCCTATATTTTTTTAAATCACATACAACTTACTCCGGGTATTCATTTCTTTAAATAGAAATAAATAAAATAGTGAAGTTTTTTGTCTCTTTATTTCCCACTCACTCAGTCAGTCACTCACTCAGCATAGCTGCAATCTTCAGAGAAGTCATAATAATAATGGCATGGCCGTCTCTCTCTCTCTCTCTCTGGCCGGCGCATCTTAGCATGGCTGCACATAGTAGGCCTCTCTCTGCACTCTGCATAATAATGATATGACCGAACGACGCCGTACTCCTTCCCCTCTTCACATTTTCTTTCATATGCTTCCCCCTCTCTGTGTACTTTTTCCTTCCCTCATTCTCTCTCTCTCTCTCTCTCTCTCTCTCTCTCTCTCTTCCATCTTTTTTTCTACCCTCAGAATCATTCATAAATGTGGGCAGCTTCAACATGCCCAGAGGATAAAACCAGGCTCTGTGTAATTGGACGAAACGATGTCGTTTAGTGGGATATATATGCGTTTCTTGACAAGTTCTTGGCGTCCAGTCTTTTCTTCTTCTTTTTCTCTTCTTCTTCTTCTTCTAATCTAGTCTAGTAGTAAAGGGTTCTCCTTTATTCCATGTTTGGGTACTTAAAGATGGTGTCTTTTCGGTTTGGAAGCCTTGTTCTTATGGGTTTCTTGCTGATTTTGAGCTCTGGTTCTTCTGTGGAGTGCAATGATGGTGAGTGGGGTTTGTAATTTTATTTTAATTCTTAGTATTTTATTAATGATTTTTTTATGTTGGGAGTTACTCCGTATATTTAAAGAGTTTTCCATTGTTTATTCTTCCTGTCTTTATTTCCCCGGAGTACTTTATTTTAATGAGGTGTTTTGACCTTATTATGGGATTTGATTACATTTAATATCGTACTCTGTCTCTTCTAATTGGAGTTGTAATTACTAATTACCTCTTCAAGTGTTGTTTTCTTCTTCAAAAATGTCTGTCTTCCCTACCACCTAGCTCTAAATGGTGATTATTAATAATCCTCGTTCATGTTTTCTCTCTCTCTAGGGACTACTCTAATGGAAATCAAGAATGGGTTTAAGGATGTGGGTAATGCTTTGTATGACTGGACAGACTCGCCTTCATCAGATTACTGTGGTTGGAGGGGCGTAAGCTGTGACAATGTCACCTTCAATGTTGTTGCTCTGTGAGTAATTTATCTCAATGTTTACTGTCCCCTTTTCTCTTTCTTCTCTAAGCAAATCTTTAATTAATTTAATTGCCCATTTCACTGAAACATGTACTCTGTAATGTTTTGTTTTTCTGGATTTTTCTGTGGGTGTGGTTTTTGAAAAATTATGAGATTCTAAGTTGTAACCCTAAACCAATTGAGATTGGAAAGCTTTTGACTTTGGGGTTATGATTATGATGGGATTTTGATGCAGAAATCTCTCGGGGTTAAATCTTGATGGAGAGCTGTCTCCCGCAATTGGACAACTTAAAGGCCTTCTGTCTCTGTGAGTGAAGTCCTCTTTGTGCTCAATGGCTTATAATGAAACATAAAAATGGTTGTTGGTTTTTAAGGTTTTATTTTGTGGGCAGTGATTTGAAGCAGAACCGGCTTTCTGGACAAATCCCAGATGAAGTTGGAGATTGCTCATCGTTGAAGAGTTTGTATGTCTTCTAATGTTTTCCAGCTCTCATTTTTTTTGAATAAAAAACCCATTGTTTCCTGAAGGGTATGAGTTATGTCCTATCAAACAGGGACCTATCCTACAATGAGCTGTATGGTGACATTCCCTTCTCAATTTCAAAGCTAAAACAGTTAGAAGGCTTGTAAGTTGTGTCTCTTTGTTTTCCCATGTTTTCTTCCATTTCTTTTCAATATGTGAGCTTAATTTGGGATGCATTTGGTTTTAAGGATTTTGAAGAACAACCAGTTGATAGGTCCGATTCCTTCGACACTGTCACAGATTCCAAACTTAAAAATTCTGTAAGTTTTCATTTTTTAAATTACCCACGATTTATAACCTTCATATATAGATTGTCTGAGTGAATAAAATTTATCTAGGGACCTGGCGCAGAATAAGCTAAGTGGAGAAATACCAAGATTGATATACTGGAATGAAGTTCTGCAGTACCTGTGAGTTTTAGAAGAATAAAGGCCTTCATACTTGGATTGTTCTCAGTTAGCTAAAAACAATCATTATTATAAACTCCATATCTAGTTGAATTATTGGATGGATTGCTGTGAATTTATAGGGGATTGCGTGGGAACAACTTGATCGGTACCCTTTCTCCAGATATGTGCCAGCTAACAGGCCTCTGGTACTTGTAAGTAACCCATTGCCCTTGTTTGGATTGATTTTGGTGGTCAGATTTGAATCTCCTGGAATTGAGCAAAAACCGGTGGAGGCATCATCATCAATGCGATGCCTCCAAATGTCGGCGCAATCCAAACAAAACCATTATTTCTTTGTTCTTAATGATAGTGAACATGTTGGTGGATGAACTAATTCATATACGAATAAAGTCTGATGTGTTTGTATATCATATGCAGTGATGTTCGGAATAATAGCTTGACTGGTTCAATCCCTCCAAGCATTGGCAATTGCACTGCCTTCCAAGTTCTGTAGGTACCCTGACTAAGAAATGATGCTACCCCCAACCCCCACACCCGCCCAGCTTCTGGAGATCATTTTGTGTGGTCTAACTAAACACTTCAAATGATCATTCTTATAGGGATCTGTCCTACAACAACTTGACCGGTGAGATACCATATAACATCGGTTTTCTTCAAGTAGCCACCTTGTAAGTACATGAAATGCAACCAATGTGACATTGCGCATTAGTCCCTCGATCAATTTGACCTTATTGGGTTGCTGTATCTATTAATGCCAGATCTTTGCAAGGCAATAAGTTCACTGGAAAAATCCCACCAGTCCTTGGGTTGATGCAGGCTCTTGCAGTGCTGTGAGTTGTTCGGAAACTCGTTCTTTTTATCTCGAATCTCTATCACCTCCTGCGTACTATGGAGAACATCCTTAAAAACCCAAACATATTTTCATTCCAGGGATCTAAGTTGCAATTTGTTGAGCGGACCCATTCCTCCCGTCTTGGGGAACTTGACTTACACTGAAAAACTGTAAGGACTTGCTCTTTCATCAATATACTGTTGTTGTATAATAGTGAAGATTTTTACTCTGTAATTTCTATATTCACATTCTCTCTAGACTAATCTTTTTGTGGGACTTAACTGTTTTTGTTGTGCATCTAGGTATCTCCATGGAAATGAGCTAACAGGGTCTATTCCTCCCGATCTTGGAAATATGTCGAATCTCCATTATTTGTATGAATCATTTCTAGCATCCCCTACCGCTTCTTGATTCATGCTAGTTGGTCGTAATCTCATTAGTGTTAAATCTTTTTGGTTATTTTTTAACAGAGAATTGAATAACAACAAACTTACTGGCCAGATACCACAAGAACTTGGGAAGCTTACGGAGCTGTTTGATTTGTACGCACCCTTCCATTTATTGTAGTAGTTGTTTGGATAGTGGCATGATATTCCTTTTTATAGTTTAAATGTATTGCATTTTCAGGAATGTGGCGAACAATCTTCTTGAAGGATCCATACCTGATAATCTCAGCTCCTGCAAAAATCTGAATAGCCTGTAAGTCTTAAAACCATGTTTATGCCTTAATGAAAAATTGATGCTAACTCTAGCATTTAAAAGCTATTGATTTATTACTTATTGTTCTAAATACAGCAATGTTCACGGTAATAAATTGAACGGGACAATCCCCCATGCATTTCAAAAGTTGGAAACCATGACCTATCTGTAAGCTCTTTTATTTTAATTCCTTCATTTTGAGTTTACTAGATTCTGATACTTTTATTAAAGAATTGGAGTTCTATCCTTAATTATGAATCTTGTTCCTTTTTAGGAATCTCTCCTCCAATAGCATACACGGGCCAATTCCGATTGAGCTTTGCCGTATTGGGAACTTGGATACATTGTAAGTGAATGTGTTGTATGTGCTTAAGGGCCCGTTTGGTTAGCATAAAAGATATGAGGCCAGCTATCACCCATATCAGAACCCTTTTGTGGGTGTTTGGATTCGATATCTTCCCATACCACAATCTTGCTTAGCTCATCAAATGAGATCCAAGTTATCTGTTTTTTGCTTCAAAAAACTTTTCTGTTCTTTGCTTGATATCTTTTCTCTTCTCTTTTTTCTTGGATAAGGGATCTTTCGGATAATAAGATTAGTGGTTCGATTCCATCTTCCCTTGGTGATCTAGAGCATCTTCTCAAACTGTGAGTTCATGCACATATATATACATTGAAGAACACTGCTTCATTGTGTTTTGTTTCTATTTACGTTAACAAATTGTTAATGGTGCAGAAACTTGAGCAAGAATGAATTTTCTGGAAATATACCGGCTGAATTTGGAAATTTAAGAAACATAATGGAAATGTAAGATTCCTTCATTAATACTACATATTAAGATGATAATCGAGTCGCTTATAATGTTCTGCTTTGTTTTTACCGATCACAGCGATGTTTCAAGCAATCAGCTCTCTGGTTTAATACCTCCAGAACTCAACCAACTTCAATGTCTCTTCTTGCTGTAAGTTAGACTATATGAACATGTATCTAATCTTTGCATCCATTGCTTATATTAACAGTTGAGATGTCCTCCTAAAAAATGTTAATCACAGAGTTACTTCTATTTACCAATCATTAATTGTCATTTTATACATTTTCATTCTGCCCCTTCGACACGCTAGCAACATTTTCTGATCAAAATTTTCCATTTTGCATATGGAAACAGGAAAGTAGAACACAACAACTTATCAGGCGACTTGATGGTGCTCTACAATTTCCCTGCTCTAAGTGTTTTGTAAGTGGCATTATATCGACTATAGGCTTTCATTTTTTGTTCTTGAATGTAAGACATCGGTGTGACTGATTTCCTTGGAAATGTGCAGAAATGTCTCGTACAACAATTTAGCTGGGAATATACCAACAGGGAATAACTTCTCAAGGTTTTCACCAGATAGGTAAAGTCTATTGTCTATTTTCTATTGGCCTATTCGTCTTCCTTGTCAAACATGTGCATTTTATGTGACTGTTTTTATCACTAGTTTTATCGGAAATCCGGGTCTTTGTGGATACTGGACTAGTTCTTGTCAAGCATCTCATTTTAGAGGGCGAGGTGAGGAATACTCAACCCTATTGCGCCTTTACTATCAAGTTTGTTTAGATGACTTGTATGCCCGCCTCATCTCACACTTTCCTTCTTGGGTTTGTGCCAAGTGTAGCCATGATCTCTAAAAGAACAATCCTTGGTATTGCTCTGGGTGCCCTTGTGATTCTTTTGATGATCTTAGTGGCTGTGTGTCGGCCACAGAATCCTGCGCGGATGGAAGATTCCATTGATAAACCAGGTAATTTATTCATCCCCTAGTCAATGTATATGCGTTATAGAATAAAAACATTCCTGGGCTCACAAGGTAGCTACAGCCAAAAGTTTGAGATTTTGGTTGAGCAGATACTTTGGCATGACATTAGAGCCTTGTGGTGACCTAGAGTTTGAGTAGGTCCATTGACAATACATACTAAACCCATTCAAATATGACAAATCATTTGATGTTTGGGTGCCATTGTGTGTCAACAGTTTACTACTCGTCCCCAAAGCTGGTTGTACTTCATATGAACATGGCACTTCATGTTTACGATGACATAATGAGGGTGACAGAGAACTTGAGTGAGAAGTACATCATCGGTTATGGAGCTTCGAGCACGGTGTACAAATGTGTACTTAAGAACTGCAGACCGGTTGCGGTCAAGAAACTGTATTCCCACCAACCACAGAGTCTCAAAGAATTTGAGACAGAACTTGAGACAATTGGGAGCATCAAACATCGCAACCTCGTTTGTCTCCAAGGTTACTCTCTCTCCTCAGCCGGCCACCTTCTCTTCTATGACTACATGGAAAACGGAAGCCTCTGGGATTTGCTTCACGGTCAGTATCCTATTATCCTGTTTTAACATTGCTCTCTATCCCTAAATAGCGAGAAGGTTTGCGTATACATGCCCCTCTCCAGATCCTATTTTATTGGATTTTGCTGGGTTTATTGTTGTTTAGCAGATGTATTAAAATGTACTTTGCAGGGCCAACCAAAAAGAAAAAGCTGGACTGGGAGACGCGTCTTAATATAGCATTGGGTGCAGCCGAAGGGCTAGCATATCTTCATCATGATTGTGACCTGCGAATAATCCACAGAGATGTCAAGTCATCTAATATTTTGATAGACGACGCTTATGAAGCCCATCTCACTGATTTTGGCATTGCAAAGATTCTATGCACATCAAAGTCATATACTTCGACCTACGTCATGGGAACGATCGGTTATATTGATCCTGAATATGCGCGAACTTCCCGTCTCACTGAGAAGTCAGATGTGTACAGCTATGGAATTGTGCTGCTAGAGTTGCTGACAGGAAAGAAAGCCGTTGATAATGAATCTAACCTTCATCAACTGGTTAGTAGTCTCTTACTCTTTCTTCCTATCACCAATTGGTTTTAGGATGGAACACCCATGGGACTGTGTGTTAGTCCTACTCGGCAAATGCAATATATATTTGGCACGCCATGTTTTTATCACTCTTGTATGTAAGTTTATATATAAATTCATTCAAGTGCATTCAACCAAAAGTTTGAATTTTTGGTCGAGTTGGTTCCTATACATGGTATCCGAGTCTGGTTGACTAAGAGGTCATGAGTTATGCAGGGAAGGACATGGTAGAATACAAAAACATTTATTGGCCTACAACCACAAACTTGAGCTTTTGGTTGAGCTGATTTCTTGACTCACTTGCACATTTGTAACACAGATCCTAACAAAGGCTGCAAGCAATGCAGTGATGGAAACAGTTGATCCAGAAATCACAGAAACATGCAATGATCCTGGAGACATCAAGAAGGTTTTCCAGCTAGCACTTCTGTGCACCAAGAGGCAGCCATTTGAAAGGCCAACGATGCACGAAGTAGCCCGCGTGCTCGAGAGCCTAATCCACCCGACCGAGCTGAAGAAGCTCTTCAGCGAAAAGACGCTTTCGCCCCTGGCTTCTTCCGTCAAAACGGTGCAATGCTACAAGGACGAATACGCCAATCTCAAGAACCCACACCTGGTGAACTACTCCTCCATGTGCACATCAGATGCTCAGTTGTTCCTCAAGTTTGGAGAGGTGATCTCCCAGAACAGCACCTGAAAAAAAAGTCAACCGGTAAGTCAACGCTGTAAGTTTTTGTGTAGAGTGAAGTGAATGCCATTGTGTGGGGGCAGCCATTAAAGCAGACATTAAAAAAAGAAAAAAAGCTTTAATGTTTGGGAAATTAGCTCTGTCTCTTGCAGTTTGGGTAGTTGACAACTTGCATTATTATTGAATTGTACTCTCTCTCTCTGTATAGCTTTAGTGGCTAGAAAACCTATTATATTGACAGCTGCTGCTCCGTATGCCCTCTTTTTGGGTGGTGCAGCTTCATAATGGGTTTTGTAATGGAGTTTTCAGCTCTCTGATGGGTTTTAGTCTTATCTGTGGTCCAAATTTGTGGGCATCAGATCATTTCATTAATAAGGGCCAATTTTTCTTCAAAGTTATTCTTATTATTCGGTGTTTATTACTCCCTCCCTCCCAAAGAAATTATTTTATTTATAAATTGGTACAGAAATTAAAAATAAAAATTGCACCGTTCAAAAGTATCTAAAATTTTTTACAAAATAAGATACAAGAATATTTTAGATATTTAAGTGGGAAATTTCCTTATGTGACACTAATGTAGCTAAAATTATCTAGCTACTCCGTACTATTTTAATGGCTTTTTTGACACCAATAGAAGTATTGAGTGTGACATTATCTTTAATACATCCATTCTACTTTTTTTCCTTTATACCTAAGATTATATTTATTTGGGTTACTTCATTGTATTCCCTTGCTGCCATATTGCCTCCCTTTGCTGCCACCACTATCTCCCTCCCTTGCCACCACTATCTCCCTCCCCTTCCACCACACTACCACCACCATACTGCCCACCCTTTGTTGCCACACTGCACAACCTTCACACTGTCTTCTTGCGATGTCACATTGTCTCCTCCCGCACCGTCGCACAGTCATTATTGTTGCCACCACACTGCCACCACTAATACCACTCCCATTGCTTTCGCACTAATATGAACAACATTAGTGTCCCTGCCGCACTATAATCCTCTGCCGGCACACATCTCTCCCACCACCACACTGCCTCTCCGCCGCCATACTATCATCATCATCATCATCACTACAAGCACACTGCCACCCCAACCAAATTTCCAACCCCGCCACTTCATTGCCACTATCTTGTCAAATTGTCGTTGTCATTACCATGTTACGATCACCACCACCCCCAATCACACAGCCACCATTTCCGCCACATTGCCGTCACGGAGAGTTTGAGCGGCACGACTCTAAAAATACATAAAACATAACAATTACATTCATGAAAAAAGAATCACTCAACTTCTAAAACTAAGTCAAAAAATTATTAAAAGGATATAATTGAAATGCCTCCACGCTGGAATTCTCAATTAAGTCATAAAACTAAGAGAGTACTATTTATGTAATATTAGTGATTTTATAGTGCTACTTAAAGGAATAGCTTTATTTATATATAAATCGAGATATTAATAATCAAAGTAAAAAAATTATGGGATAAGGAGAGTATTTTTTTCTTATTAAGGTCAGATCATTTGAGTTTTAATAAGATTAGGCCAGGTCAAAAATAGATTTAATTAGAATTTGATTTGTTTACCATAAGATCATATATCTTTTTATTATAATCCATTCGTCCCAAATTTGATTAGATATTAAGATTTACGAGGTAAAACCATGTATTTTTTGTAATCGTTCTATTTAAAAAATTATTGCATTAATAAAAAAATGACATATTAAAACACTATATCAAAAGTTCTATAAAATAAGAGGTGATAAGAATATTTTATCTTATCAAATTATCAATTAAAATACACTAATAAATAAAAGTTATCGAGATGAGTGAAAAAAAGATTGTAATCAAAATTGAGATGGAGGGAATATAATTTTGACTGTGATTTTTAAAACACTATTGTTCTTTGAGAGAAAGACCAAATTAGGACTAAAACATTGAAAATATACCAAAATAAGACTTCCATGTTTTTATTTCCGAAAAAGGACTTACATTACCAAACATGGTCATATACATTACCAAAAAAGTATAGTAATTTGCACATGTACACTGCCACATTACCACAATGCAAAGTCACATTACCACAGTGCAAAGTCCTATTCTAGAAAAAAAACATGAAAGTCCTATTTTGGTACTTTTCTTTATGTTTTAGTCCTATTTAGGATGATTTCTATTGTTCTTTTGACGCGAGCTATTGTATTCTTAAAATGATTCTACCATTTTACCTTCCAACCCCCTTTGCACTCTATTCCAACCTTCCTAGGTGTGGTATAGGGTTCAGGTGATAAGAGTTATCAATTTTATCAATAAAAAATGTGCCTCAAAATGCTCGGATCATTCATGGGCTACATGACCACTACATTACTACAATGCGAACATTTATTTCGAAAATAAAAATATGAAACTCTTATTTTGATACTTTTTCAATATTTTAGTTCTATATAGGGTGATTTCTCCGTGTACTACCCATATTTCAAAGTACTTTCTCTGTCTCTCATAGATCTTCTCAGAAATTATTCACAAAGTTAAATTTAACTCACTGTTTACTTATACTACTCATTTCATAAAATAATACGGAATATAATTTTATCAATTCCTGTTTTATAGAATTTTTATATCGTTTTTTACCATATCACTTTTATTTTTAAATTTTGAACCTACAATTCAATAAATATTTTTGAAAATAAAATCGATCTAGCTTTGAAACGGGTAATGAGAAAATCTATGAAGAACGAAGAGGATAAAAAAATTTAAATTTCAATAAGAGATTTTGGAGCTATTGGATTCTTAAAACTTTCAATTAGTCTTCAGGGCCGGCCCAATGGAATGGCCATAAAGCCCTACCTGCCCGAGCCTATATAATATTAGGGTCCAAAATTTTTTGTAGAGTAAATTCTTCAAATTATTTTCTTTAATAAGGTGTTCAAAATAATTCTTCAAATTATTTTCTTTAATTACTTTTACGATTCTCAATAATTGAGATTTATATCTTAGATAGTTTTTCGTAAATAATGTTACGCAAATGATGATTAATTTGAATTTATTTTTTGTATTTTTAACAACTAAATTTAGAATAAAGTCTTAAAATGATCATTTCTAATGAAGTGCTTTTCAAAACTAGTTTTTTCTAATTAAAAATGTGTATTTGATTCGAATTTTAAAATATTTTTTATAGGTTTTTAATAATTAGTGGATTATGTATAGTCAGTTAATTTTTTTTAATTTTACATATAACTATATACAAATGACACTTCGAGTAACATTAATTACAAAAGACTATCTGAAAAATAAATTTCAATTCTAAAGGACCACATATGTAATTAGAATTTATTGAGGACTAAAAGGAAGACACTTTATTACAAAGGATTATTTTGGAAATTCACTCTTTTTATATGTATATATGCATAATATATACTCGGTTTTTTTAAAAAAAAAATTAAAACCTTAAAGAAATTGAATTTAACCCATTGTTATCGTGCTATAGTGCCCCCACGCGTAACAATATAGACGATTTTATAATACACAGACAATAATAGTTTGTGAACAACAACGACGATTATTGTATGTGTAGGTATAAAATTGCATGTATTGTCATGTATGGGGCGCAGGTGGTGAGTTTTCAGCATTGTCCTTGTTAATTATCGCTTAAACAAAAGTAGTTTATGGTAAAAAATACGGAGTATCTGTTTAAAAGTAGTTTATGTTAATTATCTGCTTAAATATTGTTTTATTTAATTAATATATCATGTAATTTTGATTTAATTTGTTAAATAAAACTTGATAAATGCTCTAAATGGGGTACATATTAAATAAAAAAACTATATTAATCCTCCTTAACCCCATCTTTGACCTCAAATACCTTCACATACATTATACACCTGTAATATAGGACTTATATTAAATATCCTTATTTTGCCCTTGAACAAAGTATAAAGTGTTGTGGGAGATGTATATTTCTTTATTGATAATAGTTCTCTTATATAGTGAAGAGCTTCATAGGGTTTTACAAGAGAAAGCACATAGGCTAGTACAACTATATTACACAATATAAAGTAAATTTTATCTACACAACAGCACACTTGCTAATTTACAAATTCCTTCAACACTACCCCTTGTGCTGAGTTGTAGGTAGAATTAAAGAATCTTGATCTCTTGTCAAAATCTCGTCAAGTGTCAAAACCCTGTGGAAAAATAATCTTGAACGAAGAAAAGAGTACCGATCCTTATTTCGATTACTATGTTCATGCATATTGTTACCTCATTAAAAACCTTACCAAGTAACAAAACCCAATGGGAAAAATAAACCTTGGTTTAAGAAAAAGAGTGTAACATAAAATAAAAGCTAGACCTTGGAATATTCAAATCTCCCCTTGAAGTGTACAAGATCAAGGAAGATCTGAAAGTCTACGCATCCCAATGTTTTTAACATGTTTCTCAAATGTGGCTTTAGGTAATGATTTGGTGAATAAATCTGCCACATTCTCCTCAGATCTTATTTGATTTACTTGGATCTTGATGAGAGTTTGTTGTTGTTGATTATAGAAAAATTTGGGAGAAATATGGTTGGTGTTATCACCTTTGATAAATCCAAGTTTCATTTACTCGATGCAAGCAACATTATCCTCGTAAATGCATGCGGGTTCTTTAGTGGTTGGTCTCAAACCACTAGTCCCGCGAATGTGTGTAATGATAGTTCTTAACCATATACACTCGCGAACCCCCTCATGTAGAGCTATTATCTCTGAGTGGTTTGATGAGGTGGCTACTAGAGTTTGCTTTGTTGACCTCCACGATGTTGCAGTGTTACCAACTGTGAATACATAACCAGTTTGGGAACGACCCTTGTGTGGATCAGATAAATATCCTGCATCAGCATACCCAATTAGTACATCATTTGGTGTTTCTAGATTTGAGAATGAACTCCCTTCTTCAATCGTTTTCTTAGAATTCACAACTTCCTTTGTCCTTTTATATGAAAAGAAAAGTCCCATATCACTGGTTCCCTTTAAATACCTCAAAATATTTTTGATACTGTTCCAGACGTTGCGTTGGCACAGAGCTAAATCTGGCTAATAAGTTCACTGAGAATGCTATATCCGGCCGAGTACACTGAGCTAGGTACAATAATGCACCTATGGCACTTAAGTATGGAAATTCAGCTCCTAACACCTCTTCATCCTCTTCCTTTGGACGAAATGGATCTTTTTTAGGATCTAAACTTTGGCCGACCATGGGAGTGCTAGCAGTATGCGCTTTGTCCATGTTAAATCGCTTGAGTACCTTTTGGACATACACAGACTGGTGGATTAATATCCCACCAACTCGATGTTCTAGTTCAAGG